AGCAATCAGAAGCCAGCAATCGTTTTGGCTTTTCCGTTCAACTCATCGGAACACTGGCGTAGTTAGAAAAATGAACACAACTTAACGACCAACGTCGTGGCATGGTACACAAGCGTGCCATCAAAATAAAACAAAATTAGCTTGAAAAGACAGTGGGTTTGAGTCCCGCTCAGAGCTACCGTAAAAACGTAAATCAAATAAACTGAAATCTCTTAAACCGTAAACAAGTAAACAAAGAACGTCACGAAAAAATAATAAACCTCACAAAACTCCACCATACAAAACTGAATGAATAAATAAAATAATTACGCCTTAAACTGGACGACGCGCAATTTGTTCAACAGTTTCCAGATTGTGACAAGAGATAAACAAGACCCAAGTCAAGGTAAGTTTTGTTAAAGTGTTGATGGCGTTCCCTATATTATGAAAACAATTCAGGCAACAGACGAATATCTTCTGTGGTGTTGTGGAATTTATACTGTGTCTGCGGAATTGTTGATTGAGGGTTCGAAGCCTGCAGTTAACATTTTGTTAGAAAGTTTCACAATTGAATCAAATATCCAATGATACCAGTATATTTATTTCATTATTTTAACAACTTGCAATGGTGGAAGTTGGTCAAACACGAGTTCTTACACCTAAATAAATATCAAATATTTGTCAACACATTTATTTTCTCAATTTAACAACCTTGTACATGTAGTTGTAGAGATGGAAATTAATTAAACAACAGGTATTTACTCACAAGTATAATGGTCAATATTTGTCCATACATTCATTCTGTCAATTTAAGAACTTGTCATTGTTGGAATTAATCAAATGAGAGTTGTCTACACCAAAATAAGTTTCAAATACTTGTCCATACATTTATTCTCTCAATTTAACAACTTGTAATGGTGTAAAATAATTAAACGAGAGTTGTCTACACCAAAATAAATCTCAAATATTTGTCCACACATTTATTCTCTCAATTTAACAATTTGTAATTTGTGGAAGTAAATTAAATGCGACTTTTCTACACTAAAATAAGTCTAAAATATTTGTCCACACATTTAGTCTCAATTTAACAACTTATAATGGTGTAAAATAACAACGAGAGTTGTTTAATCAGTTGACATCAATGCAACTTACCTGCAGACAGTGCACAACACAGTATCATTATTGACCAATTATAAACGGGAACGTGTCTTGGCATTAGGGTTAGGGTCGGGTCAGGTATGGGCAACACAAATGGCAAACACCCAATTGGCAAGATGTACACCAACGGGTTATGGCATGCATATAGTTTACACAAGTAAAAACACAAAATTGGCAATTTTTTTGACAATTGTAACTTAATAATAGGAATATGTTGTATTTCTATATATAGACACACTATATAGTCTTATCAAATGCAAACACATCCAGTCAATCAATTGTGGTCTTGTCTCAGGAGGACCCGGGTTCAATTCTCATGCCAGCCAGTTTTTTTTCGCAAACACTAATTTGCAATAAAGCTAAATATGAAAACAAATCATTCATTTGCATGACTACCCATATGGTTCAGTGGATATGTACAGTGTAGGCAATGTGAGAGATCGCTGGTTCGAATCCAGTACGGTTAGTACGATTTTTGAATGCTAGTGAAAACATTGATCCTATAAGCAGGACTTAAATCCTATCATTTGTGTTAAGACACTTGTGGTACAGTGGACAAGTTCGAATCACAGACAGGACACTCCTACAAGACAAGATATGAAAGAAAAAAAAAACATAAACAGCAACTTCTGTATATCAAGAACTCAAGTCAGAAAAACAGAACACAAGAAACTACCTCACATGGAAGCCAGTAGAAGTCGTCGAAGTACGAACACAGTTGAAAAAATTGCATAAAGTGTAGGTACTCGTTCTGGAGTCCTGCCAACATTGTGGGCAATATCTGTCAATCATTCCTCTGATTTATAGCCGATGTTTATATTTCTAGTTACAACTTCTGTAAATTTGAAAACAAAGTGTGTAACCTATTGTAGTAAGTTATCAACATCTAGCACTACTTCAGCGTCAAATCAGTGCCTGGAATTGCTGAAATAAATGAATGCAATAAAACTTCCGACACAAATTTGTCCCTAGTTGCTGTTATAAAAAAAAATAACTATTTCAGTACAGGAAAAATGTGCTAGTATACTCGTTTAACTTCCGCTCCCCACACAAACCCCTCTTTCTCTGCACCAGAGCATCTCATGTTGGTTAACCCTTTGCCAAAGCCCCTCAACTATGCCCTAGTTTAGTTTAGCTTAGCCTGGATTAGCCTGGCTTAGCAGTCGGTAAAGGAAGGTAATAGTGATATAAGTATCTTAAACCCTCGAGAAACATGTATGGTGATCGTAAATTAAAATATTACTCGCTGCCGACATAACAGACATGTGATGTGGTATGCGACGCGAGAACCGGCGTCTGCTCATGTCAGACAGTGCACGTGCACGAATAGTCGATTACTCCGTATTTTCACTCACCCTGGCAGTCGACGAAAAGTTCCTGGCAACAATACATAACGCAGAAATGTTGTTTGGTTTCGCCACTCGTGAAAACATTATGATTAATCTTGAAATGGCAGATTTACTACACGTTGCATAAAAACTCAAAGACAGTCCCAGAGAAAAGTAGCGACCTTTCGACCTCAGTGTACAGTTACTGACATGCGCAGTTTCGTCGGCTGCTGTACCCAGGGTGCAATGCGCAAGACGTCGTCTCCAGGAACTACATCACTTTGGCGGATGCTTACAAAAAATAAGGAAATTGTTTCAATTAGTAATATAAGCTATGGACTCAAATTGTTAACCCATTTTTCCACTTATTGTTTTTTTATTCAACAAGGGCATCATGAAATATGGTTTGATTTTTACAGGTATTCAAATATTTGTCTGCAAAGTACTACATCTTTTTTGATGGGGAAGGATATTGTATTTAGGAAATGTGTTGCTCGGCACTGTTGCTGATCACAACCTGCATCGAGGGAGAGAGGGTTGTTTATTGCGTGTATAAGGCCGAAAGGCGTTGTTATTCTACTCACGGGGTTTTAATATAGCTAATATTATAATCCAGGAAATTCTTTAAAAATGGCCGGGATAATTATGTGTGAACCGACCGAACTGTACAACATTTTACAGCAACAGACAACATATCCGAACCTCAGCGATCCAAACTACCTGTTATTGATCGGTATGTGTGTACTTATATATCTCCTTACCATAATAAAGACACGTCTTCTCGTATGTCTGTAATATTATTGTATAGATATTGATAACGTGTCCACCCGCTAGTATGATCTTCCCCAAATGTACAGATAAATTAATAAATATTGCGTCAGTTCATTGATTGATGTGACATACACCGGTGTTTTATCATTTGAGAAAACACGTTTGTGACTGCAATTATTGATCGCACCATTCCATGATCGCACGTCTGTAATTTGAATGGGCATGTTTGTTTTGTGTATAAAGGTTTTGATGTTGTGGAAAACAGAGTGTATATTCATCACAATGAGCGATGAACTCGAAGTCATTAGGTTTTGCAATATGTGACTTTTGTGTACAGCCCAGATAGCATGCAAAGACATTTGCACTGACCTTCGAAAACTGACCCTTCTGTCAGTGGTGGCTGGATGGTCGTATATTGAATAAGAAGGCCAAGCAACAGGACTCTACTCAAGACTAGCTTTTGTGATATTGTTCTTGCACAATCATGAGTGGATCATTTTCCACTAACTAAATATGACATAAAATATTACTGTCCATAATAACTTTGGTCCACATTCAGATAAATGTTTATAAATCACAAATGACAGTTGAAAACTATTTGACCAATCAGAGTGATAAATTTCATGTCACCTTGTTGTCTGCCATCAGGTATCTGCACGCTATATGGAATGAAACACCATGAGGGAAAATTTGATTGTAGCTAATTCATAACACGAGACAGTCGGGATAAATACATTATAACCAGCTTGAGCTTTTAAAAACAAATTGTTAATTATATATGAAATTGTTTAAAATGTAATTGCATGGGTTTCTATGTATTATGTTTTTCATCATATCTATAAAATTTGGCTGGTGTCATAAGCTGAAAATATGATATAATGTCATTACATGGTGTCTATTGTTGTTGCAAATTTGAATGAATTGACATATTACATGTAATACTGTGTTTTAAATGAGATGGTATTTTTCCCATTAATGCATCACATTTTAGTCAAATTGTGTTAAAAGTATATACAGTAGATGCCAAAATTGTGCTCGAACTTTTTTAAAAAACGTTTTAATATTGTGAGAATCTGAATATTATTATTATACAATCTAGAGCACAAATGAATTAAATTAAAAATTTGCTATCATGTGATGCTTCTTTCTTATTGGTAATAATATTAGAATTATTGTCATATAACGAGTACCGGGTATGTCATATATTTGCTCTGCAACTTCTAAAAAGGAACATAGATTAAAGTGGGAGGGTTGTCACCTGCGCTCGCGTGGGAATTGAGTCCCATGTGACGATAACAACACAAGCTAAAAATGCAAAGGCTCATGGGTAGATGCTTGTTTGTAAACAATGATACGCTATGACCATCTGAAGCATGCGCAGGCGACGACTCCCCCGCTTTAATTTACAAAGAAAAAGCATGAGATCCATTTTGATAACAATTTATTTACAATGAATCAAACATAATGTATATATACATGGTTGTATTTCAGATTCAAGGAAAGTAAACGAGTACAATGAAAGTCATGTTATAACATCAAAAAATGCACCAACAGTAAGTGTACATATTATTTTAACCTTAAATTGCATTTGTCACATGCCAAGTGCATTTTTTAAAATTTGTTTATTTCATTATTTATTTTCTGTATCTCTGTTACAACATGGATAAATGATTTCTACATTCTTTTCTAAATTCAAAATTGTTTTATATCTCTTGCCCCTGCTAAGGATAAAATAGGTGTAGCCACATTGACTAATGCTAATTATTTTTTATTTTAATATCGAATTTCAAATTAGATTAGACATTTCGCAAATGAGGCAAAATGGAAAAATCATGAATCATGTCAGAAAAAATTGTGCTACTGAAACATATAATTTATAGCAAGCAATGTTTTTCTTACGTTTAATTTATTTTCTGTGGATGATGACATGCTTTTAAATGATGCCAATTTTTCAGTATATTTTGTGTACAGTCCAGAGAACCACAGAGACCTTTGCACTGTCCTTTGCAAACTGATCATTCTGTCGAAGCCAACTCTAGTATCCAGTGGTGTATTTATTTGCCTATTCTAGTAGAAATCAACCGAATGCATGTGTTTGCTTTGGTTTTATTTTGGGGGTTTTATGTAATTTAACATGCATTTGTTTTTTAATATTTCTTTTGTATCACTGTATTTTTGAATAATATTCAAGAATCTATCTTAGCAATTCATTTAGAGATTGCAACATTGTGTGTGTATTAAATCCCACAATGAATGAAGGTTGATTTATCAGAATACAGCGTATTTATTTATTTCATAATCACAGACAAAGGATGGTGAATTCCTCGTACCATATGATGCAGAGTTAGAGTGTAAAACCCATGTGGTAGTAATTGATAATAACACTAGAAGTTTGAGAGAAGATGGTAAGTATGCATTTTGACTGTAGGAGTATAAACAATATGTATACTGGATTTGCTCTATTAGAAATGCTTCTCTCATTGAAACACAAATAAAGTAATAATTAAAAAAGACTTAAGTTTT